GAAACCACCAGCCGCTCTGCAGGAGAAAGATGAGGCTTTCTACTCCCGTAAAAAGTTACAGTCTCAGAACTTGCAGCAGGAGTTCTACCTGTCTTGTAGGCACCAACTCTTCCATGGCAGGGACTTTGCTTTGTGTTTTGGTGTTACCCTGGTACTGGAGTTCCTTCTCAGTGTCTTTGGACTTAGACGTTTCATTGTTCACAACTTTCCTGCCTGTCTTTTTTTTTTCCCCATTCTTCCTCTCAGCCTATGGTTCTGCTTTGCCCTACTTTGCGTATCTTAACCCTTGAGAGGAAGAATCCTTTCCAGGCGATGCTCAGTGCCTTTGGCCCAGGGCTCACCCTCTGTACCGCTCCTCCCCAGCCTCACCCCGCCACCTGCTGGCTGGAATTGGTATAGTTGCTTGTGCTGCTCTTCCAGGATGCTGTGCTTCTTTCTGTCTTGCTGTCCAGAGACTTCCCCTCAGGTCGGCCGATGGTGTGTTGCCTGCTCGAAAAGGCATTCATTCTACTTGTGTGAGTGAATGAGTGGGAGGCCAGAGCAGCCCATCCTCTGTGTGCTATAATGTGGCTTCCCAAGACCCAATTCACTGGGAAGAGGTGCTAGCTGTTAAACTGGCCTCTGATTGAAGCTCACGTAGGGCAGGAGAAAGGACGGGGCTTTTTACTTGGGTCAAGTGTTACAGTCTCGGAAGCCCACAGGAGGAGCTGCTCCCTGCCTTATGGGATCATCGTGAGTCGGCAGCGACTCCGTGGCAGTGAGTTCGGGCTGGGCTTGGACATTATAACTTGATGGTGCCGAGTTTGGTTTGGGGAATTGACTTGATGGCAGTGGTTTGATTTTATTTATTGGCGCCTTATTGGGGGGTGGGGTGACATGTGGCTCCTTTCCACACCTGGCACAGGTTAATGGGCTAGGTGATGGAACATGCTTCCTCGGTGTTCTTCAGTGAAAGAGCTTGCTGTCTCGTCGTCCTAATGAGAAGGCACGCCCACCGCTCCGCTGCCACACCGCATACGAGTCCAGCTTGCTCCTCGCCCCGGCTTGGCTGATGAGTTAGTGTTTCCAGAATTCCCATGGGGTGCTCAGAGTCAGACAACACTGGGTCACAAAGGGCCAATCCCTTTGCATTAGTAAAGACTGCTAATGAAGTGCGGCATGGAACAGAAAAAGACACATCTCGCACACCGGAAACGGGTGCTGGCGTGCCTTAAAAAGGAGCCCTGGTGACATAGTGGTTACCCATCGGGCTGCCAGCCAACCGCCAAGTCAGCAGTTCAAAACCATCAGCTGTTCCAAGAAAGAAAGGGCTTTCTACTGCCAGACAGTTAACAGTCTCTGACACCCATGGGGGCAGTTCGACCCAGGCCTATAGAGTCGCTAGGTGTCAGCCTCCACTCGATGGCAGTGGGTTTGGCTTTCGGTTGTATGCCTACAAGAGAGTCTTGGCTGCTGCCCTTGGCTTAGCGTAGGAGGAAGGTGCAGGTGTGGCAGCGTGTTAGCCAGGGTCTGGGTGGCTGTTCACCCCGCCTTCCTCAGAAGAGGACTCCATGTAGGGAGGTGGTCAGACTTGATCTCAGAGCAGGGCCAAAGGATGGTCAGAGTAGAGAAAGGGTGCAGACTGGTGCCTGAGAAGCCGAGTGGGGTATCGGCAGGAAGCCTTGGGGGTCCTCTGCTGCCTCTCAGTTCACCCCAGGAGTGACCTGAGGAAGTGAGGGGCGAGGGCTTCACCGAGGTGGGGGTGCCCCGGCTCCGGGATCGAGAGCAATAGTTAGGACTTTTGTGTCCGTTGACTTTTTTATGCTCATGGCTTAGAGCCCCAAAGGAAGCCTCTCTCAGAAGTCAACCTTCCCATAGATCGCAGAACCTACCTGGTGCAGTTTCTCCAGGCCCACTGCTGCCGCCACACCCCCCTGCTGCGCCGAGGATTCCCAGCGCGGAGGGGAGGAGAGGTGCGGCTGCCTTACACTGCGCCCGCCCTGCAGGCGCAGGCTACAGAATCCCTGGTTCCTTACCACTGGGTGGAGCTTCCAGGGTATTGGTATTGGCGCAGGGGCCTGGTGACTTCACCGGGGCAGGATCGGAGGCGGAGCTATGGGGCCAGTGCTCCTCCTCCGCACGAAGAAAAGGGCAGGTGCCTTACAGGCTGCTGGGAGCCTGTCTGCTGGTGGGGGTCCAGGTCAGCTCCTGGCACTGCGGACTGAAACCAGACCATGCTAGCCATCTTGGCACCCCTGCGCACTATGGGAGTTGGGGGGCACACAGGAGGGCAGCATTTCTGAAGGGGCCAGGTAAGGGGTGGTGGTCTAGCAGTCAGTGGTAACCCAGGCCGAGTTTGAGGACCAGAGAGAATGCTGACTTCTTGGCGGATAGGGACAGGAGCCCTGAGTTGCAAGGCTGTTTTTCCATGCCGAGGGGCTTGTCCCCCAGTCATCAAACCCAAGCCAGGATGTTTCTGCTGCAGCAGGAATTGCCCCCTACTCTCACCAGTTCTGTCTCTGAGCTCTCCCTGAGGTCACCTGGCTGAATACTCTGGGAGAGATAGGTAGATCTTGGCCCCTCCAGGTGGTGCAAAGCTTAAACACTGGACGGTTAAACAAAAGGTTGGCTGTTTGAACCCACCTGGAGTACCTAGAAGGAAGACCTGGTAATCGGTTCTGACAGGTCACGGCCTTTAGAACTCTACGGTGTCTTGAGCCGGAGTCATCTCAGAGCCAACTGCTAAGCACCCCCAGGAGGGTCAAGGAGGCACCCACCTGTTAACTAAGCGTCAGGGCTGGGGGAACATGGGGTGGGCTGCAGGGGGAATCTTGGGTGCTGGGGCCAGCACATTGTGGGCCAGCACATTGTGATCAGAGCCCAGCTCCTCCTGAGCCAAATCAGATTCTTGTCTGGTCAGGGAAGGCTGGGAGTGTGGGGCCAGGGTTGCTGGCATAATTGGCCTCAGGCCGATGGTCACTTTTGTGCTTGCTAGCAGAGCTGTCCCATCATTTTAAATCAGGGCTGGCAGAGCAGTGACATTCTGGCCCCTTTGGAAAGTGTATTCCTCGCGGATCATTCCCTTAATAAAGACCAATTAGCCGAGGAGGTGGTGCTCAGTGTGCCTGCTGGAGCCGGCTACAGGGGCCCTGATTAACCTCCCTAAGTGGGGTCAGGCTTCTGCTGCCCAGCACCTCTCAGCCTGTTCGGTTGCCCCGATGACTAGGCCATGTGCAAGCTGCTGGGTGAGGTGCTCAGCCACGTGTGGGGCATGTGTCGGTACTGGCTTCCCCCTTGACTTCTGCTGCCCAGGACCCAGGAGGTCTGCGCTTCATCAGGCCTGGACCATCCTGGGGCGCCTGTGAGATGACCCCCGTCTAGGGTAGGGTGTGACGACAAAACTTGGATGGGGCTGCTCAGGGCACTG